GTAGGTTCAGAAACTAGTGGGTTCAACAGAGCAGCTAAACTCAATATTAATCAAAAGTTTTGTTATTTTTTTTTACTTCTACAATTATTTTTTGCGTAAGAAAAAGTCTGTCAAAGTGGCCTAGGGGGCCATGTGGTCCCTGGCCGCACCTAGATCCGCCCCTGGAAAGAACTCAAACGGTACTGATCATACAGAACCTAGAGAATGGGAGACAATTTTACTTTTGATCCGAGGAAAGGGATAGCAGCTCCAATTCCTTCAATCAGGAGCCCTTCATTGGTATCAGGATATGACCCTCTAAGTGTAACAAGTCTGAAAATTGCCACTAGCATATTTGTCATCACACAAACAACTCTTCAATGCCTAACTGATGCTTCATTCAATTGTTTACTGCTTTTGCTAGCAACCTGACCAAACATCTCCGCTGATCATCTCTGAACAAACATCTTTAAATGCACTGGTGTTTACATAAACAAACTTTATCTGTTTGCGAGAGAGGAACTGGGAGGAGCGATAGAGAATCCTTTAATCCAGGGAAGCTGCTTCCTCTCGCCCCTCTCCTCCCATGATACCACAAAAGACTACATAAGGAATAGGTGAATAAATGTAATAAAGAGGGGGTGATGAGCAAGACAAGAAGGAAAATGAGGAAGAGAAGGAAGAGGAAGAGGCAAAGATGAAATGAAATTAATGACTCGGAAAATTAATAGGAGTACAAAAAGAAACATGACAAAGAACAGTAGGGAAAGGAATAGAAGGAGAGGAATGGTAAGAGGAAAAGGCTTCAGAGCATAAAAGTCATTAAATATTTGTGGAAGCGGACCAAGGCGTTCCTCGCTAAAAGGACTGTATGAGAAGTCGACAAAAGACATTTTTTTTCCTGCCGTCATCTTTCGGTGAAGGACAAAACGGCGTGAAATTAAGAAATTTAACCAAAAATGTTCACTCCTTTTCCAAAAACTTTTGAAAGTTTCAGAAGTAAATACAGTCAAATGTAATACCACACACACACACACACACACACACACACACACACACACACACACACACACACGATCAGTGAAGATCAGCGATTAGTGAAGAGGCGGGACCAGGAGCCGAGTCTCGACCCCTGCAACCACAATTAGACGAGTACAATTAGGTGAGTACAGACACACACACACAATAAGAAACTGATAATATATGAAAATATAAAAAAATATATATGCCCAGAGCTTTATAAAGATTTCGGAGTATAAATACGCCTTTAGCTCTTAATAGAACGTGGAAAGAACCATCTGAAAGACAACAATTGTAGAGTTCTCTATCCTGTCTTACTTGTAGTACTCAGGTTTCTTGTGAAGGAACAAAGCATTACAAGGGAGGCCAGGAATTTTCTCCTTAAGTGGCACTTAATATTCAGCTTCTTGAGAAAATATCAAGACAATGTCTCCTTCATGTAGACTGAGGTACTTTTCGTCTTTCACACAGAATGCTGAATGACTGATCGGCAAACAGGTAGAGTAATGTTACAAGAATATAACAATGGTATATAATATATAACGATGGTATATAGTATATAACATCGACAGGTAACTAAGACATGTACAACATGTAGGCATCTTTATTCCGAATTAAAATTCCTAAATGTTGCATAAGTGTCTTACTTACCCAATGTTACAAGAACATTGAGGACTCAGTAAATACACAGATGGTACATTTACAAAAGCTCTACAATAACTCATCAGAGAACACACAATTGGTGTATCATCACAGGGAAGCAGCAACTCAGTCAACACACGAGTATACAGCTGCCAAGTACCGACCACTGAATGAGCAGTTGGCGTCACCTGTGTTTATATTAATCCCTACTTAGTGACTAATTTCGATTTAATATAAAAGCGAAACTTGATCTCAATGACTCTAGGGGCAGTTTGAAGACCTTAAGTGTACCCAACACGCTCCCTCTTCCCTCACATTTACAGCCTCCTCTTCCTTCCCTCACTCCACATCACCCGTGCACCTCCACAACAATAATATTCATTGTTATTATTGTATTCATATGGAAGCTGTGAATCTAGAAGGTAATCAGATTTGATCTAATAGGAAAATTAATGTGGCTCGAATTTCCTGAATCAAGAGACCTTCACCAGCATCAAGGCACACCCCTCTTGACGGGACATATTACTAAATAACGTGTTACAAAATTTAAGGTATTACTGGTTATTTACGTAAAAACCACTGCTATCATTACATTAATGATTTACAATACCGACAAGATGGTTTTGGCAAGTTATTTTCAATAATAATAATAATAATAATAATAATAAAGATACCTGGGTGCTTAATATACGTTTAATTCATGAAATCAATAGTAATGGGGAACTATAATTTTCCAGACTACTCTCAGAACAAAATATTAAACGCACAGCTTTAACAGAAGTGAGATTTTTTTTTTCAAATCGTCCTTACTATTTGCCTTACTATCAGATGCCATTTTTCTTAAATATAATTCCACAGCCTACACAAATATAGCATAACTAGATAAACAGACGTGTGCGTCCGTCACCACGACGACACAGTCGTAGGACGACATAACGGATGGCTTTGGAAAGTGTGAATACCAAGTGGGAGGTGTGATTACTACTGGGAGGTGTGAATACCAACTGGGAGATGTGAAAACCATTGGGAGGTGCCAATGCCACTGGGTAGTGTGTGAATACCACTGGGAGGTGTGAATGTCAATTGGAGGTGTTAGAATACCACTGGGATGAATGTGAATACCGCTGGGAGGTGTGTGAATACCAACTGAGAGGTGTGTGAAGACCTCAGGTCTCTTGAACCTGGAGTGCAGGATCAATAAAGATCGATGGAGCCTCCTGAAAGCACCCACACTTCATCCTAACAGCTACACTCACTATAATACAAGAATACTAAATCCTGCGCTCGCCGATTTGTGTTTGCGGGGTGGTCAGTCTCCCAGGCTCCTGATTTCCTTATAACATGCTTCCATCGGTATTACTGGTTTCTGACCACTTGGACTTTACCATACCTACTCTTGAAACTGTGTACTGAATTTGCCTCCACTAAAGACAGGTTTATTGATTTAGACACGTTTTGCCTGTGTAGCAAGCTTTATCGATCTAATACAGAGGCGTGAAGATGGGGAATGTTATAACAGAACCAGTTGAAGAAGTGGAGACATGCAGTAGTTGACGTAGTCATACATGGGCAGGGCCCGACCTAATCCCACTGGTGGGCCCCGCCCACGTGTGACCACGTCTTCACCTGCTACATCTCCCCGCTTCCATTCTATATAAAATTTTTAGTCCTCGTGCCTCTGTAAGAGATGGGTAAAGCTTGCTGGGTAGGCGAAACGTCTCTCAGCAAGAATACCTAGGCGTTGCACATATGTTTGATACCTGTCTAGCGTAACAACACCATGTAACAGTGGTACAGAGGTCTACAATTTCATTTCCACTGGTTGTCCCTACCCACATGTGATCATATCTACAACCACTGCATCTCTCCACTTCTTCCACTGCCTTTATTATCAAAGTCTCCGTCTTCATGTCTCTGTATAAGATGGGTACACACCACCCCTGCTCACTGCAAAGTAAGCCACTCACAAAAGAGCTTACACTCGTGCTGTGTACAATAGCTCACCTACTCGTGAAGATTGTACCATAAATAAGCCTCCCATCTCTCTCTTCCACGAGGTTTTCACCATGAAATATTGTCATGAACACTCTTGCAGTGTTCATATCAGTCTCTCTCTTGAGGTCTGCATCATAAGAAAGCCGGACATGAACACCCCGTAGTAAGCCCGTCTCACATCAGCAGGACGCTTAATATAAGTGAGCGTCGGCACTCGTGTGTGTGTGTGTGTGTGTGTGTGTGTGTGTGTGTGGTGTGTGTGTGTGTGTGTGTGTGTGTGTGTGTGTGTGTGTGTGTGTGTGTGTGTGTGTGTGTGTGTACCTGACCTTTACAGAAGTGTAATACACGGAACCCATTACTATGATGGATGTGCTCTTCACTTTCTGTGCACCCATTAGCAAATTTAGAAACCTTTTAATGAAATTGTATTATTATTGCTATTATTATTAGTGAATGTGATACATCTCAATACCTAACTTTTAGCAATAAAGAATAAGGCGACAGTATCTTAAGCCTAGCTGTATTTGCAGATTCAAGTCATAGGATATGTTACTGCGGCTGTAACAGCAAGCACGTCAGAGTTATTCTTCCTAAGTTTGTAATTTTTTATTGTGTTTTAAAATAATTTTTCGTGTCCTTTATACAAGATATATACATATGATTTTGACTTAGAAAGTTGCAGTGTTGCAGCTTTATGATCGGTTTTACTGATTTCTGGCAACCAGGGCACCGACGATATATGCTGAAGAATAAAAGGTCACATTACCGTGGCTAAAACAAGCCATAAAAAATCCGCGCTTAGGAGAGGAACGCGAAGACGACGTTTCGGTCAGTCCCGGATTCACCTCTTCCTTACATACGTATTTTACTCAAGATCAAGACAGTTTAGGTAAAACCCTTGTGGGGTGAGCGGGGAAGATGGGACAGGCGAATAATTGAGTTGGGAGGAGCATCTTCAGCTGTAGACAGAGTGCGAAGGCTAAACCCATCAGCTAAGCACTCGAGGGACTGGAGCAGGCTGTTCTAGCATCAGGCTTATGTTCGTTGGAGGTCTTGAGTAGTTGGGCAACAGGCTTGGTCAAAGGAGGGGGCAGCAGGCAAGCGTCACAGAAGGCAACTCACATGTAGGGTGTTGTTTGAATGTGGTTGTTATTTAGGGTTTGTTGAGGATCAGTTTACAAATTCCTTGCTTCTAGAGGTGGTACAGTTGTGTCCTGGGTCCAAATGTGTTACTATGTGGTTCAACGAACTCCCGTACTTGCGTCACTGTGAAGTGATGGGGTGGTTCACTGGCAAACTTGACAGACCCAGCACAGAGCCCTTTATATAGTTACATATCAGTCATCGCAGTTGGATGAAGGTGTTTAGAACGTTAGAATGTCCCATGCTGGTGTACTGGTGTAGGTGTCTTCACCATCCTCTTCCTCGGAAGAGGATTCTGTGGGTGAGTCTACATGGGTACTGGCAAGTGACTGTGGGTTGTTAGGAGCAGTGGTGAGGTGTAATGGTGGACTGTCAGCTGGCTGAGAAACGTGGAAGGCGGTGGTTGAGTCGGCAGAATCTTCGTTGTCGACGATGGAAGCAGTTGGATATGTTTCAGGGTCTGCAGGTGCAGTGAAGTTCACAACGTTGGGAATCTTCAAAAAGTCGGCGTTTTTACTAATAAAGTATATACACACAAAATTTTCAGTGATACAGTTACTGCTAGGACCAAGCATTGAAATGAGCTGAGACAGCACAAAATCTACCGGTACCGGTATATAAAGGCATAAACCCCCTAACCTCAACAGAACCCTTCAATGAAGAAACAATAGAAAGCTAGATAGAACGAGAATAAGTAAATATTATACCATAAGAGGGGCAGCTATTATCAGATTCACTATGACTACCTTCTTCAATAATCTCACTCCATCAGCAATCATTCTGCCCTAAATTTACTGCATAACTTCAGGCTTTCCATATTTGATGAAATCTCCATACAGTGTAATCCAATGTATCATAGAAAATAACATTTATATTTGGAATATGTTCTGACAACAGACATTCGAGAAATCATGTTCATTAGCCATTTGGAAGCTTGGGCAAATATACTTCTAATTATTAGGTCTACTCCAGTAAAACAACACTATACTAAATATAATGCTGGATCCAGGTTTTGAAATAACTAAAAGGTAGGCTAACTGATCTTGTAAAATATTTCAAGGAACTGACACCCTTGAAGGGAAGGGTAATTCTAATTACTGAGAACAAGAACACTTCACCAGCATCAAGGCACCCCACATGAAGGAACAAACAGGTAATACTAGACTACATTCACAAACTACAAACCCTCCCACTGCTACAACCTACTTAGTAAACGAAATTAAATCTAAGAAACGCTGGGCTAATCAACGCTCCGTTCATTTCAGCTATACCTGTTGATTGCCGCCCAGTCCCAAGGCACTTGGTACGAGTTATTATGGTCATTTGGTCAGGTCGTCACATGATAATCAAAATACGTAGTCGTTGGCTCCCGTGACATGGGTGATTGCTATCATGGAAAAGTCGTTCATAAAAATTACCTTATTAATATACTAAAATGAGCTAGTGATGTTTATCTGAGAGCAAATCCCCTTGAGCTCACAATCAGTCACGCTATTTACAAACGGAGAAGGGAATTAAGATAAAAGTTTAGGTCATTACTCACTGGCTGGACACTGGCAGGTATATAAAGTGGAGAACTGATATAGCCAGGATAATGTTTACATCTGGTCATACTGATTTGTCAATAATTATTTTAACACACTGATACAGTAGCGACCTGACTAATTTGTGATTTACTACGCTGGGTACAGCAGTGAGTTGATTAACTTGTGTTTTAATAATTCCTTTCAGTGCACTGTTAAACCTATTTTTTTGTTTTGTTTTGTTTTACATAAATATGCTTGGCGAAGCGACTTATGCCGCATCTTCTATATATGCACCAGTATATATGTAGGCAGTACTACAGACTGAATCGACGTATGTTTGTCTACATTCGTCCACTTTTTTGTAATTACAATTACACATGTTTAAGTGTGCACCATTACGCTTAACTCATCCATTATATTTATTATCCATATAGTTAACTGAATTATTATTATTATAATCAAGGGGGAAGCGCTAAACCCGGAGGATTATACAGCGCCTGGGGGGGGGATGTGGAAGGCATTCAGGCTTAATTCGGGGAACTGGAGCACAGATCCAATTCCCAAAATCAAGAGCCCCTCACCAACATCAAGGAACCTTCCTTGAGGGGATAGTTAACTGAAGAGCGCGAGTTTTGTTGGCGTGACGTCAAGTATCTTGAACACGTCAACAAGTCGAACGGCTACGCAGAATGATGGAATGGTAAAAAAAAAATTAAATCATGTAAACTTGTACACGGAAGCTAAACTGTAATTAAAAATGTATTGCTAATAATGAACATTATATTAAATGGCGGATGTAATTTATAACGAAAATCGAATGGCTGACTTACACATGTTAAAAAAAGCACTAACTGGCATCTGTCCTCGCATAATGACTAACAACATGCCCATTGGAGAAGCCAGGGATACAGTAGATACTCCAAAATCAGATAAAAGGGAATTAATGTACAATATTTATGGATTTCATCATACACTCAATTACTCCATGATAGAGTTGGTAAGTTAGATAAAGATAGTACCCTGAAGGAAAATGTACAATATAACTCTGGTGCGTGTCTAGCATAAGGAATAACATTAGGCGAGAAGTAAATAATGAAAGCGAATGTCATAGGAATGCAGTTCGAAGCCTGAGTCGATCTGACTCGCTATAACATGAACATAGGAATGTTTACGGAGCAACGTGCAATATGAACAGACTTCTTGATATACGGAGTAACGTGCAATGCGAACAGATTGCTTGATGTACGAAGCAACGTGCAATGCGAACAGACTACCTGATATACGGAGCAGTGTAATATGAACAGGCTGCCCGACATAGTTGCTAGGCTTAGGCTTGGTTACCAGACCATATAACTTGGCACACAAAACGTGATGATCAAACTAAATGCAAAGTATGTTATCAACCTTAGGATCACTTTCTTGAACACTGAGCTTCATTGTCCACTTACTGAGGAATATAGAAAAAAGAAACAGTTTAACAACTTCAGTGATATGTCAAGGTATTTTATTAATGAAAATAAGATGCCAGTAATAGTAACCAGGTATCCTAAATTTGTTTGCAACAGATAATACAATTGTAGTATAAATCTAGTTCCTAGTCTTCTTTTTGTGTATCTATATGCTCTTGCGTTATCATCCACAAGATCGATATGGTGTACACAATTAACTAGCTACTTCGACGGCAAAATCTAACCAAGGCTGAGCAGCAAAGTTTTTTTCTACTTCATTTCTTATTCTTAATGTGCTTCGACTGTCAGTATCATGAACACAGCCTAGCAGCTCAGCTAATGTTAAGTGCGTTTGTAAGACATCCAGCTTAGAGAAGAACCAGTGCGAGGCACTACCCAAGTCAAGATGTTGGAAATGGTGCTAGTATCCGAGATCAGAGAACCGATATAGGTGTACCAAATTTTGGTTTGCACTCAAGTCAAGCAGCTTATTTTGTTTTTAATAACTGGGGCAAACAATGATTTATAACTATAGCATAACAAAGTGTTTAAAATTAATATCACAGTGAAGCAGGCACCTAAACACTATTGATCCCAAGTATGATTTTTCACAGGGGAGCTGTGCAACTAAAAATCGTTCTTTTGTTATGTGAACAATGTGGTCAAACTAAAAGAACTAAAAATATTGTATACTGAGAAAAGAAGTCATTTTTTCTTCACTTTTTTTCGTATAGAGGGACACAGGAGCTTGAATTGGCGGAATTTTGTATAGCGACAAAGAGCAGTTATCCGATTTTATTCACCAGAATGAGAGAGAAATTAGCCTCGGCCGCGATGTTTGTTAATAAAATTTCTGAGGGTCCGCTATGTCCACTAGAAGATAACTCTGGCTTGTATTTCATTTCATGAATTTTCCCAGATAAATGCAATAACTAGATTAAACAATACGATAACGAAATACCCCTTTGCTGACCTACTCAAAACTTAGATCCATTATCTAGAATGAATCACAAACTAGTTTACTGGCCATGTTGCCATAAAATATAGCCCAGCTTAGTTGTAATATGTGTAATATATTTTCTAAAGTGGATCTCAGTTTCCCTGAACAGCCGCTTGTTTTCAACTCTTCTTATCCTTACTAAAATTTGACAGATATTTCACCTATCTCTAATCTTTACAACAAACTGATTAAAAATACTTCTAAGTCTTCGATGTTAGCCTTCCTGGCATCTCTCCTTCCCGCATATATCCTACTTACTATCGCTGCCTCCTTCATTTAAACAAACCAATAGGGTTTTTTCGCATTTCCAGGTAATTGCTCACAAAATTAGGACGCACTCCCCCCTCTCCCTCAAATTTTATTTCTTGTTCATACCACAAAACAAAATACATAGTTCTGGAAGTGGTGAACGCTGTACTGGCTGTTGCAGTTTACTGAAGTAATGCCGTCGATATATTAGCAAGAAAAATAGCATTATACAAGACTGAACAATTAACTGCTAACGGCTTAGATGAGGATAAGAGCGAGTGAGAAGGGGCCATGCTCGTGTCTTAAAATTTTGACAAGGCAAACTTTTACAAAGCACTGCCACTAAATGCTTAACATTCTGCATATGTGAAAACAAAGAGACCATATTTTCATCCCACAAGACAATATAGTATGCTCCCTGAAGAGCTCCAACAAGATAATAAAATAAGCTAAATCTGACATTTGGTCTGTTAAGAGTGCAGATCTAACAGTCGTGTTATTTTGTACTTAACAAGACAATGTTCAAATGCATCTACATCACCATTATTATTATTATTATCAAGCATATCGGAATATGCAGCACACCATGTACTTCAAATTCGGTTTACTTTATATATTCATTATATTTCACATTTGATGATGTAACACATTAGAGCAATATTGGAAACAACACATCTGACATTTTCCATATAAAGTACTGTACTTCAATACTGTTCCAATTATAAATAAAAATTGAACTCGTTGTACAGGAAAATAAAGCATAGAACAGGATGCAGCGACGTCATGCAGACAGGTATACGTTTTATGATACAATACGCAGAGCAATCTTTTATTGCGACAATGTTTTTCTCATTTTCGAATATTAAGTCATAACTTGAGCAAAATCTTACTGAGGAATTTTCTCATCTACACAAACGAGAAAAAGCTAGTAATATACATCATGAAATGCACCTGTATACTCAGAATGCCCTGCAGATAATCTCGATAACACCATAGATGAACACTTAACTGGGGCACCCTTTTTAAGTTAATAAAATGGGACTTTTTGCAACATTTGGGTATCTTTATTCTGGAAACGTTTCGCCACACAGTGGCTTTCTCAGTCCAATGCAGAAAAAGGCGGAATAAGAGGACTGAGGTAATCAGTCCCTCAGCCTTGAGTCGATGTGTTCGGTCCAATCTTGAGGAAAGTGAAGCATATTTGCGGAATGGAGTTTATATACCAACGAGAGATGAGGTGGAGCAGCGATTTTTGAAATTATACATACACACTATATATATATATATATATAT